CTGTCCTGTTCATATCCTGAAAGTAGCCCATAACAGTTTTCTCTTTCACTTAGCCAGAATAATCATTCCCACTAGTCACTGCTATTTTGATATTTGCACAAGTGTTATTTATTTATTTATATATTTATTTATTTTTGGTTGATTAGTTGGAGGCACCACCCAAAAAAACAAAATATCCCTCTTATATCTGGGAAATTGCTCATGCCTCTCCTGTGGATTTTCAGATTTGGTTTTGTGATTTTTGTTTGTTTTGGATATAAAGCTAATCCTATAGAGAGAAACTTAACACTTCCCTTCTGCAAAGAACATTTAGTAACATTAGCTGTGGATTTGCTGTTTTTTTTTTTTTTTTTAAAGATTTTATTTATTTATTTGACAGAGTGGAGAGAGAGAGCACACAAGCAGGGGGAGCGGCAGGCAGAGGGAGAGGGAGAAGTAGACTTCCCACTGAGTGGGGAGCCCGATGTGGGGTTCACAGGACCCTGGGATCATGACCTGAGCTGAAAGCAGGAAGGCAGACGCTTAGCCTACTGAGCCACTCAGGCGTCCCACTGTTTTGTTTTGTTTAAAGATGCTATCTTAGTATAGAAAACCTCTCTTTTTAAACCTTTTCAGAATTTAAGATGACAATTTCCTATGCTTCATTCATCAAAAAGAAACCAGTTATTTCCCTGTTTTTCCACCTCTGCAGGGGTGCTTTGCCACTATGCTCTTTTGAGGAAATTTGTGTTATGAGGAGAAAAATGAAAGAAGAGAGATAAGAAACAATAAGGCTGCTTCAGTTCTGATCAGGTTCATCTATCCTAGAAACTTCCAAGTTCCCCCAGTAAAAGAACTTTAATTGCAGTTTATATGACTTGTTGTTCTTGGGTTCTTCTTCCCCTTTTCTTATTACTTAGGAAATTGATTCCCAATTTCACATATATTTTTTTATCTCATTATATTTTTTAATGAAAATGTAAAGACAAACAAAATTGATTTATTCCACAATAAAACTCAAAAATTCTATCATTAACCGGGAAGATGTCTGAGATACAGGTATTACTTTAATTCTCTCTTGGAGGTCATCTCAGTATTTGGAAGTAAAGATAGAGCTTACTCCCACTCCCCCCACCCCAGTATTCATTCTTCCATTTCTCTTTATCAGTAGAATCCTGGAACCCAGAATAAAGGTGGCAGATGCAGCTAGGTAAGTTCATATGAGTAAATTAGGGCCAGAATTGGTGTGTACAACCTCTGGGAAATGGAAGTGGTATGTCTTTCTCCTTTTCCTCTTTTTCATTCATGGCTTGTGAATGTGATGGCTGGACCACTTAAAGGAATTTTTTTTTCCATGTGTAATTTCTTGGGAGTCATACAGACAGAAGGAATCCTTCTCTCATACCCAAATAAATGGGATTTCTGGTTAGAAATTCTCATGGTATAATTTTTTTTTCCTACTTCATCTAAATTCAAATCCAAAGCTCAGTGAGGCATATATGCCCAACATCTCCCTCTGTAAAGTGTATGGATGTTTTTTTCCTCTGCCCTTTGGGTGGGCAGGAGAGGGTATTGTGTGGAGGGGGGACTTTATGCCAAAGCTTTTCAATCTGACCTGTTCTCATAGGAGAGCTGGGGTATAGCTCAGGGCAAAATGAGTTATAGGCCTGGCCTCTTTTTTTTTTTTAGATTTTATTTATTTTAGAGATAGCATATGAATGGTAGGGAGAGAGGGGCAAAGGGAGAGAGAATCCTAAGCAGACTCTGTGCTGAGTGTGGAGCGTGATGCAGGGCTCGTACTCATGACCCCGAGATCATGAACTGAGCAGAAATCAAGAGCTGGATGCTTAACCAATTACACCACCCAGGAGCCCCTGAGTTATAGGTCTTTTGAGAATTTTTAGATAGTCCTAAGACAAGTTCTTTCTTTACTGCTTGCTTACCTTTCTAGATTCACACTTTTCATCTCTGGCCTCCAATCCACCCTTATATTTTCCTGCTAGCCAAGCTATGCATTCAAATGACATTTTAAATAATTTATTCAGCATTTTAGCTCTGCCTGGAGGGATGAGTCTGCTATATTGCTGGAAACAGATTCTAAATTCTCTTTGTTTCATCTTTAAAAAATAATGCTTACTTGATTACTTTATATTCATCTACATTACTTCTTTTATTATGCCCTCGTTCCTTATGTTAGACACAAAGCTATGGGTTTCCCTTCACTTCCTTCTTTCCTTTCTTTTATTCCTTTCTTTTAATCTTTTGTTTTCTTTCCTCTTCTCTCCTTCTTTCCTTCTTCTTCTCTTCTCTCTCCCTGTCCTTCTCTTTTTTTCTTTCTCAATCCTTCTCCTTTTTTAAAGGTATCCATGGCTTCAGAGCCCAAGGTAGCAATGGATTTTAAAGAAGTAAAAACATCACTATGTACTTCCACATTTACCGATTGCCTACTGTTTGTCAGGTACTGTGCTTGGAACTGATGCTGTATGGATGAATAAAGTCCTGCCCTCAAATAGCCAGTCATGTGGGGTGATGGTACAGTGTGGACTGCTGTTGTGGGGGAAGAACACCATGCTAAGTGAACACAGAGTATGTGGGAGGTTTTCTAGAGGAGGCCGTCATTAAGGGTAATCTGTATATGGGAGTTCCTCTTTGAGAGCCCCCCCCCCCACATGAGCTAATACTGTAGGTTAGGAGTGAGTGACCAAAGTAGTTCAGTCCCGGGAATTGGAGTTCTGTCTGGGAAACAAACACTATATTATTATCGCTTATGTTACATATGTATGAGACTTTTTTTTTTTTTTTGGCCTCAAAATAATCACAAAGCATTTTTCCTGTGGCAGCAAAGTTAAGCAATCACATCCAGGAAGAACAGAAGGAATCTTCTGCTTTTGAATGGCTAGATAAAATGATCAGGGAGCTTCAAATTCAAGAAACAGACCCCCCAACAAGTCAGAACACAGACATCAATCTCAAAGGATAAAAGAACTGCCATGGTTTCTTTACAATCACAGGTTGGTGACCTCAAATAACCCTGCAAAAGAGTTGGCATAGACCATTACAAAAAGTATTATGTTGCACTCCAGTACTGAACATATCCTAATTGAAATGGGTGAAATAATGACGTAGAGATAGGATTGTTTCTACGGGCTCATTTTGCAGTTACCATAATGTAAAGTGGAAATAATCACTTTGTTAAAATCCAATCTGTTCGGATCATGCTTTACACCAGTATCCCAAGACATGTAAATTTTTGTTAGTACAAAAGTACAGAATGAGAAAACAGGCTGCTGATGGACGTTTCTCGGTCCATGTACTGCCTCTTTTTGTGGGTATACTGGTTGGCTCACCCAGGGCCCCACAGATGACATACTGCATGTGCTCTTGGTTGTAGATCACAGCTGAACAAACTGCTTCGGAGTGTGAAAGGTCAGCACAGTGTAAACAGAAATCAGCAGTGACCTATAGAGTCGTCTCAAGACATAATAAATACCATCTTCACGGTCCTCCCCACCTTCTGCTGATTCAGGTATTCTCTAGCGCCATGTGGCTTGTCTCTGGAGCAGTATTTCAAATCCAGCAGACCATCGTATTTGGAGCAGAATTTCTAACTACGTTTTTAATTTTGGCAAAATAACTTTTAGCTCCTTCTGAAAATGTAATCATATATGGGGAGCTTCATTGAGAAAGAATAAAATACTTTTTAAAACACTCCATTAGCTTTGGCTATCATTAGTTTTACTATTCTGTAAGAATTTCTCCTAGGTTTAGGGGATAAAAACAGAATTTTTTTCAATCCAGATAGAATTTTGTGGAGAATCATTAACTTTTCCTCTCCTTCATATCTCTCAATGACCATTTGTTTTTCTGTATTCCTTTATTGAGGGGCATCTAGGCCAGTATTACCTCCTGCTAGGGTAGGATTGGGCCCACATTCATCCTGTTCCCTTCCCTGGGACAGCCACAAATCAATCAGGAGAGCCTGCACCAGTCCTTGCCCATGTTAGGTGAAAAGACTCTCTCAGATTGTGCTTAGCCTTCAGCTAGCTCATAGTCACCTGGGTAGATAATTTAAGACAGAATTGCTCACCTGAACCTGAGGTGCCTGGATCTAGTGAAAGTAGACCATACAGTATGTTCCCTGTGCATTCCAGGGCAAAGTTCAGGAAGATGTGTGAATATATGTGAGAAAGCGTTCCAATTCCCATCATGTGCAAGATTCACATAGATTTGCTTGTCTAATGGGATAGCCTTGCAGGAGATCTAAAGCCCCTCACGGAATAATACTATCTAACACTGTTCTTCTAGACCTAAGTGTAGAAGGATGATAAGAGGGAAAACTTCCCTCTGCTCCAAGCCAAACCAAACCGAAAGCACAATCCATAACCTATAATAACTTAACCCAGATGGTCATATTTTCTTTAGACTGCTAACCATTTCCAGTGAATTCATTAGTTTCGGTGTTTCTTCTTTTCTATTCTTGTAGTTAACATTTTGGCTTGCCAAATTCTAGCCGTCCAAGAACAGGAGAGATCAGATGCTTCAGATTAAACAGTTCAAAGATGCTTCAGATTAAACAGTTCAAAGTCGGTGACATTTAGTTAAAATAAACAAATGGAATAAAATGGACTGCAGACTCATAGGTCCAAAAGTTAAAACTCGTTGACTGAGACTTAGTGCTATTAGATGGTTGATTTTACTCAGAACTGAAGAGCTCAGGAACAATAAAGCCAGTAACAGTGGCACCAAAGAGAAAATGGGGCTGTTATGTTGAAGGAATGGTCCATACTCACCTGTTGTGTGGCATTATTTTAAATCCCAGCAAAATTTCCAAGTAAAATAAAACAACTAAAACAATGAGAAACTAAAACAGTGGGTGAGAATATGTTGGTCATTAACATCTTCAACTTGGGGCGTTGTGATGATTCAGGGTAGGAAATCAGATGGGAAGGAACAAAATTAAAAGTTAAAGAGAACAAGAACCCAAAAAAGTCTGGCTCAGAGAATTATGTGCATACATTTATATTTTAGCAATTCTCCATCCTCTACTAGATGCATTTGAAAATGAAAAACAAGGGCTCATGACTGACTAAGAATAACTTCAAGACCTATCACCAGTCGTTTTTACCCAACACCCCTTTGCTTTCCAAACTCATCACTTTGCTTTGCAGATAAAGATGTTCTTAGCCTACTTTGAATACTATTTTTCTTTGTCCTTCATGTCCACCATGTATATTTGTAATTGTCCTCGGTCATCTCCCTTTACTTCTTCACAGCACTGCTTAAATCTAGCACCTGCCTAATCCCCCCCTCCCCCATTTTAAAAGGTTCAACTTCTTCTTCAATACAAAAGGAAACGTACCTCTCCCTGGACATCTAGGTACCATTCTGCACATGTCCACATGGTCTTTGTTGGCATATGTACTTTGCAAGGACAAGAGTCAGGTGTTTTGTAAGCTTGTATGATTCCTCCTCCTATTCCATCATCCATATAGGTATTTAGTAAATGTTGAATTGAAGTGAATTGCTTTCCAGTGCATTTTTTGGCACATGTACTTCAGTAGGTCAAAATTCTTCTCTTTTTGCAGTGCTTAGTGGTTTTCTTTTTGAATGAGTTCCTGACCAGGCCAGAGTTGTTGGATATCTCTGAAAGCTGTTCACAGCTTGCTAAACAAGGAAGCAGCATGATTATATTACTATATTGTAGACATGTCCCCGGTTTAAACATCAAGGAAATTCTATTTATGTTTTACAATGGGTTGTTCTTTCTCTTTTGTTCTCATTTCTCCTCCCTCTCTCCCTTCCTTCTTTCCTTTCTTCTTCCTCTCTCCTTTCTCCGTCCCCTCTTTTTCTTTAGTTCTTTTTAACAAAGCTCTCTTGTGAAACTCAAATGTTTATAGCAGGATCAACAGCAGTGAAGGGCTGTCTTTTTCAGCCCCACAAAGCTGGACAAATGCAACTCCAGAAGCCTGGCCTCATACCTCAATTGCGGAAGGTGTCAACAAATATGAGCTGAATCAAGGCTGGCCGAGCTCTCTACTTGGGAATGGCATTGGCTCCAACAGCGGGAACACTGAGTTTCTAGCTTCAGGCTTTCAGTTCTCTCTATAGCTTAATGGCTCACAGACCTTTTATGAGACAGCTGGATAACAATGTGCTTTTATGACAGCCTGACTCTTTTTTCCCCTTTTAAATCTCAAACTGTACTGTATAAGACATTCTGTCTCCTATCGTTCCATCAACAAGGCCTGAATAGCCAAGGCAAGTGCTCCTGAAGCACTTGTTTATTTCCTTGGATTTTTTTTTTTTTCTACAATAAAAGAATAAGGGGAAAGGAAGGTCCCAGATGTGAAAGATGGCTGGTAAAGGCCTCTGTGTGAGGTCCTTGGTGAGAAATCTCATTCTAAAGATCTGGGTGACTGGAATTTCCTTTCCTCCCATCCCCCGCAGACATCCCCCTCCCCAACAACCTTCTAATACAAATCCTTAAGCATTAAGTCAGGCGGAAAATGAGTCTACTCTACATTTATCTTCCTGAATGGCAGTCAACTCCCGCTTAATCTTTCAACATATATTTGTTCAATGGATCAACAGATTGTGTAAGCAGCATGACGGTTGGGTTTAGAAATGTGTCTGCTCATGTTTGGTTTGTGCTGAACCATTGACCATTTTGTTTGTGAATCCATCATAAATTATATCTCCAAGTTACCCAGCACTAGGAATGGGGACAGAGGACAGTGCTCATACAGGCAGAAAGACTTTTAGTCACTGTCATTTTCCAGTATTGAGAATGCTGACTTGTTTTATTTTGGAATGCTTTCTAATATTTTCAAACTAGAAAACCTCAATGTTAATTCCTTTCTCTTTTCCCAAAGGTGTCTCTTACATATTCTTCTCCTGTCCTTTCCTCATTAAAACAAAGGCTTTGAAGGCACAGAGTAGTTAATAAAAAAGTATAACATATTAATAAGAAGGCTAAGAATTAAAAATCTGTGACTCTTTGGACATACTGGTTCAAATCACTGCTCCTTAAAAGTGGGAAGGATTTATGTGTTAAAAGATTGTTGCATCGGTCAATCAACTCATCACACAACTGGTTTGACCTTTTATTTTTTTAAACAAATTGTCAGTTTCATTAAATTTTCAAGTTATTATTCAACCAGTCAACCAGTATTTACTGTGTTCCTACTTCATTAAATGCAGTGGAAAAAATATAAAAAGGTGAAGACAAATTTCCTAACCTCAACAATTTAAGTCAAGTTGGAGGAGTAATATATATGTTTGTTAAAAGATAGTATGAGGATTCCTAAATAAAAATGAGGGGATGAGAAAGTTTGTGTTGTAGTAGTATAGTTTCTTTACAAGAAGGAATGGTTTACAGGGAAGTTTTTTTTTTTTTTTAAGATTTTATTTATTTATTCATGAGAGACAGAGAGAGAGAGAGAGAGAGTGAGGCAGAGGGAGAAGCAGGCTCCCAGGGAGCAGGGAGCCTGATGCGGGACTCGATCCCAGGACCCTCAGGATCACCTGAGCCGAAGGCAGACACTTAACCATCTAAGCCACCCACGCGCCCCTTGCAGGGAAGTTTTATTTGTTTGAAAACTGTTCAGTATTTACTGAGCACAGTATTTTTGGGACACTGAGCATATAATGCAAAATAAGATTTACTTGCTGGCCTCACGATGCTTAAGATTGAAATAGGAAGAGTGGACGTACAGCTGTGGATGAGGAAGGAAGATTGATGTCAGCCATCATATGCCCATGTCATGCCCAACTCCTGTCCAAGTCAGGAACTGAGTTGGGGAGCTATAGGAAGACCTGCTGGTTCTGACATGTAGATTTTACATGTCATAGTGAAGCCTTGTTAGATAAAAGGACATTTCCATATATTTTAAGTGTAATATTCTTACATTTCAAAATGGGAGCATAATCATACTTTGTAATAAGGCGGGATTTTACTTATATCAGTAAAGAATATATTATTTTTTAAAACCTACTGTTGATGTTGCATTTTAGCCATTCCATCACCCCTGTGCTTCTGTTGCCTTAGTGACTTCCTGTAACAGTTCTGTCAGCTTGGGAAGGTGTTATTATCCTCATTAGAAAGGGAAGGAACCTGCAAGTTCTGGTAGACAAGTACGCAAGGTCATGGAGCCTAGTTAAAGGGAGATTTGACACCGAATCTTTTTTTTTTTAATTTTTATTGTTATGTTAATCACCATATATTACATCATTAGTTTTTGATGTGGTGTTCCATGATTCATTGTTTGTGCATAACACCCAGTGCTCCATGCAGAATGTGCCCTCTTTTAATACCCATCACCAGGCTAACCCATCCCCCTACCTTCCTCCCCTCTAGAACCCTCAGTTTGTTTTTCAGAGTCCATCGTCTCTCATGTGACACCGAATCTTGATTCCTAGCTCTGGGCTTTTTCCTCTTTTGCATTTAGCATCCTTTGATTAAGTTTCATAATGAAGGGTAAGAACCTCAATTTGAAAACTTGTCTATTGATGCTCTTTTTCTACTGGGAAACATTAACCAGTGTTAATGAGTCTTTAGCTCAAGATATGTTTTAATATTTATAGGTGAATTTTAATATTTATAGGTGAATTCGTCTGCAGATGCCAAGACAAATTCTTTGCCAATGGTGATGACCTGTTACGGTGATTCAGCACTGACAGTCTCCACATACATTGAATGTGGAGTAACAGTAATAAAATCAGATACATGACATCCAATAAACAAAATATCAACAAAAGTCCTTTAGGAGCCACTGGATTGAGAGACATTCAGGTTTTGGAGTGTTTTCCCAGATTTGATGGCATTGAAAGTCACAGAGAAGCTGCAGTCCTAGACTCAAAATTGGTAGTGATGGTTTCCTTGATTGCAGAAAAGAGAAACTCACTGAAGCCAGTCCAAGAAAGGAGAATGGGTTGTTATGAGGTTTCATGGGGTCTGTAAGGAAATAGAGCTAGTAGAGGGGCCTTACAAGCCCTGTTGCTGGGGAGACATGGAAACCATATCCTTTCCTTGACTAGTGTAGAGTTAGGCAAACTTTGGGTTAGGTAACTACCCTGGGTCCAATCACTCGAGGGAACCAGGGTGTTGCACACCACTGTTTTTATTCAGAAGAGGGTATGGGCAGAGCTAGCAAGGGTCTGTGTCTTTCATTAAGAGTGTTCTATTTATTCTGTTTACCTTACCCCGCAGCTAATGGTCTCAGTAGACTCTAAATGTTTTCCCCAATTTGATTAAGGTTGATCTGGTTATTTATAATTGTTGAGAAGCATAGCAACATTTTGTTTGCACTGCAGTTTATTATGCAATATTTGATTTCCTCTAAAAACAGAGGGAAATTGTAATATTCAAAATTACTGTATCTGTCAATGGCAGGGACAGAAATTAGAATTCTATATATTCTGGTCATATGGACTATGGTTATGCCAATGTTTCCTAATAGAAGAGAAAAAAAGATCATTATTTAGGTATATCATAAATATAGACTCTTTGCTAATAAGGACCAGAGAAAATATATGAGCTAAGTTTTATCTTTCTTCACAGACATGTTCCTGAAATAAATGCTGCTTTGATTTGGCCTTCTCTTTCTCCTCTCACCCTCTGTGTACATTTCTGGGCAGAAATTTCCGTCATATAGTATGAAAACTCTGGGAATCCTTGAAATATTTCCAGGGGACTGAATTGTGTTTCCCCCAAATCCATATGTAGAATCACTAACACTCAACATAAGTGTATTTGGTGATAGGACCTTTATGGAGGTAATAAAGGTTATATGATATCATAAGGGTAGGGATAGAACTGATAGAACTAATGTCCTTATTAAAGATTATTTATTTTGAGAGAGAGAGGGATTGAGAGTGCCCTGGTGGTGGTGGGGGTGCAGAAGGAGAGAAGCAGATTCCCTGCTGCACATGGAGCCTGAAGCAGGGCTCAATGCCATGAGATCATGACCTCAGCCAAAATCAAGAGTCAGATACTTAACTGACTAATGTCCATATCAGAAGAGGAGAGTCACCAGGGAACTCTGTGTGCACACAGAGGAAAGGCCATGTGAGGATATAGCGAGAAAGTCGCCATCTACAAGCCAGGAGGAGAGGTTTCAATAGAAACCAACCCTGCCAATACCTTGCTCTTGCAATTCCAGCCTAAAGAACTGTGAGGAAATAAATTGTTGTTGTTTAGGCCACCCAATCTGTGTTATTCTGTTATGGCAGTCTGAGGAGTCTAATACCAATATTTTTATATATGAGGAAGCTGAAATGCAGAGAGATAAAGTAACAAAGTATTAAGTGAAGAAAATTTGAATTTGAAAACAATTTTGAATTCTGAGTTTTGAATTTGAAAATAGGATTTGAAAATAGCCCCTTCTGAATCTGTGATGATGGTCTTTCTCCTCCCTGTCCTGCCTGTTTATTTCCCCTGAAGACTTAAGAGTTGAAAACTCTTACTGGTGTCAAATTTACAGATAGGTCAGAAAGTTTGGAAGTGATGAAATGCTGGGTGAAGCTAGAGGCAGACCCTGATCATTCCCTGGCTGTGATGAGAGAGCTAAGGGAACACCCTGGAGATGGTGCTCCCGGCCGACTCTTGGTGCTGAGTCATACTAAAGTACTTCCAAGGGAAGTAGAAAAATGGGGCCATTGTAATTATCAGCCAGAAATGGAATTGGGGAAGATGAGAGGAAGCTAGCAAATCCACAGGCTATCTCCTCTTTGTATTCAGGCTGGGCATAACCAGACCATTTGGAGCAGTCCAAGAAAGTAGATCTCATGTGGAGGGGGCTAGTATTTGAATAGAATTGGCTTCAACATTCACTGTTAAGGAGATTTTGAAATGTTGCCAGTTAATTTAACAACAGTCTGCCTTAAAAAAAAAAAATCACATGGGTTTACTTAGCCTTCATTTGTATTTGCTAAGCAAAGCTTATCAGCACATTTCCTCTTAATTTTTTATCTTCCTTGTAAAATGTTCAATGTTGAATTTCACCAGTATTTTCTTTTTATCCCTGAATGATGGAAACCTCTGATTTTTTCCCCTTTCCTCTTTAGAGAGAAGAGGAACATTTAGAATTTGCCCTGGAGATACAATGTCTTCCAAATATTAGCTCAGGGAATAGAAAGGCTCTGAGTTGCCATGTGCTGTTGTTTGCTAGAATAAATAATCATATAAAGGCCTTGCTCTTTTCACTCCTTTCTCTTTCAGCAGAGTTCAAACCAGGGTTATTTGCAGGTATCCTCTTGAATCCAGTTGAAAGACTCTGAATATCTTGGCTTTTCAGTCTTGCTTTTGCTTTTTCTTTTCCATCACTGTATTCCTTTTTATTTCTTTCTAGGTTCCTGACCTTATTTCTTTATTTCTTTCAAATAATAGGAGCTCTTCAGTGTGTGAATGAGTGTACACGTGTGTGTGTGTGCGCGCATGTGCGTGCGTGTGTGTGTGTGTGTGTGTGTGTGTGTGAACCAAGAAGAAGAGGCTGTAAGGCAACTAGAGCGTTTATTTGGGGTCTTAGGGATTCAATGCAGAAGACATACTGTGGACTGAAATTAGAAATTGAAATTGTGCCCCAGATTACAAGCAGGAAGTGCAGATTTATAAAGGCAAAAAAACCACAAGGTTACATAACGTGTTTTGAAGGAATTATGATTGGTGCCGACAAAGTTAAACTGACTATCTAATACAGGATTGGCTATTAACCTAACAGGTGTTACATTACCTCTCTTTCAGTCCAAAGTAGAGTGATATCTTCCAGAAGATAGCCTAGGTGCAATGGATAAGGGTCAAATGTCTGTGATATTCCAAAAATTGAAACAGGAGATGTGCATAGGCCTTTCTTCCTCAATATCCTCCAGACCCTGTTTTGAATGACTGACTCTCTTAGCGTTTCTCACTTCACTTTGGAATGTTCTTTCACGGTGTTTATGTGTGTTTATGTAGATGTGTGTATCTGTGTCTGTGTGTATGTGTGTGGGGAGTGGGTATGTGGTGTTTCTACCCTTTAAAAGTGACACTGATTGTACCATTGTCAAATTCCCAAGGCTCTGCCATCCATAATTATAATTGCTAAATATTGATAGACTAAAAGTCAAATAAATGAATGAATTATGAGATGCATATGGAATACAAATAAAGATCTTAAATATCCATTCCCCACATTGATTGCTGTTTAGAAAGTAGAATATATAAAACGCATTGAGACGCCTCAAGGAATCAGGGTTATGATACTCTGGGCTGTTTCTCCAGTGTTCACTTAGACACTTTTAAACACAGGATTTTTTTTTTTTCTGTTTTGAAAGAGTAAACACCTTACAAGCTGAAAGTCATCAAAATTCTGCCTTTCCCTACTCATCATACATTACATTTGCCAAGCACAGATTAAGGCAGATTATTAACCTACTCAATTACAATGGAACTCCTATGGAAATGTCTATTAGTACCGCATTAATATCTCATTAGTTCATCATGTTAATGTTATTACAATGGTTACCAAAGGAATTGGTGCTGATTGATACCTAATTTTGAAGGGTTGTTGCCCCAAGCATCATTTAAGAGGGAGGCTCAAGAGTAGAGGTGGAAATCTGCTTTCTGTCTTCTTCCCTAAAAAAAGAAAAGGAAAGGAAAAAGAACAAATGAATATTCCTGGGAAAACATGCTGCAGAGGCTGCATGAGACTCAAGATATAAATCTATTTTGACAGGTATAGTCATTATTCTTATCATCTAGGAGAGCATTATTCTTTTTGTTTTAATGGCAGAGATAGCAGGAAGACAAAATTTGCCTTCATGTGAATGCATCAAAATGTAATAACAATTAGCTAATAAAATAAATTATTACTAATGATGATAATAGCATGTCTGTGTCTTTACAATGAATGTGTAGCTCTACTTATTTACATCTTTCCCCAGAGGAGTTCAAGTAGATTTATAGAAGTTAAACCACTCCCACCTCTCCATTCATTTGCATATATTAAAAGAAATAAATCATAGAGGCTGATCGTACCATTTTATAAGGAAAATTATGTCTCTGCAGTTTCATGTCTTTGATGTAGTTAGTAATTCTCCATATTTGGAAGGTTTGTGCAGCAATAAGGTCAGTGGCACCAAGACTGGAGTCTAGACTTCATGACTTTGGGAGAATATTAATCACCGTATGCCCAGGCTTTCTGGCCCTGGTGGGGAGCAGATGGCTGTGGGGGTGTCCTACACAGCAAATCAGAGCTGGCCTTTAAGACAGATATGAAGAAGAAAAAGTCTGTTGCTGATGCTGTCTTATTTTCTATACTTTCCCCACCTGTCTCTCTGCTTTTCACTGAGACTCCAGAGCTCTCATGGTCTTTTCAATGAAATTTTGGGGTGGTTTGTCATAGTTAACCTTTTGCTTTGTTTCTGTTTACTTAGTAAGAACAACAACAACAAGTTGTTGGAGGTTTGCAGAGAAAGGAGAAATTACGAGATGGACCTCTTGAAGAGTGGCAGAGTGAATTGTATCAGAAAATGTTGAATGAGGTTCAAGTGGCAGTGTCGAGGCCCCACGTCAGGTTTGTACACACATTGAATGGTGATCATTAGTGTTGTTGTGGGGCTTTCTCCTGCCATGTTCAGCTGCTTGGATGTGGGCACCCGGTCAGACTGGGATCTTGCTGGGTGTATAAGACAGAGGAGAGAGATACAAGGACACAGCAGGCATATATAAGGGTGAGGAGGCAAATAAGAGTGTGTAACAGACAGTGAAATGTAAGGGCACTGAATGGGAGGTCCCAATATGATTGAAGAATTACTGGATCAGTATTGTTGGAGGGATGGGCAAGAACAATAGGAGATGGTGATCTAAATGAGATTCTTGAAATTGAGATTTTGGAGGCAGTATGGTTGGTAATGACAAGGTCTAGGACATTAATATGGGAGGCCAGTTAATATGGTTAAACCATTAATATGGTTTCAGACCAGTGAAAGGTAAATTACTGCCACAAGGGCAGGCTAATGTGGTAATCTAATCAGATAACACATGTTTCCATGTCACTGGGGAATTTTAGAGATTGGGGGAAAACAATTGTTTGGAAATCGAGATAAGGAACAGGAGGGGGAAGGAACCTGGCCTGTCTTTAAGCCTTGTTAAATATTGGATATGAGAATCAAAACAGCCACTGCTTGAAAAGGCTGCTCTTTAAGTGGTTCCTGGAAACTCCAGCTGCAGCAAGAAGGTGCAGAAGGGAGGTTACCAGCGTAGCCGACTTTGGGTTCCAGAGGGCACAGTTCAATGTGTTAAGGAGTCATCTGAGTCATGACTCAGATATTGAGTCAGAATAGAGGAGGTACAAGTGCATATGGGGATTGAGTCTGAGTGGTAAGAGATGAATCTGAGGAGTAGAGAGAGTGAGAAAAAAATATTGTAAGCCCCTGATATTTTAGAGTTTATGAGCATAGCACAATCTAGCATAAATTAATTAATACAGTCCTTTAAAGGAAGGGGAACATTCTTCTGTTTCCCTTTCTCCTTTGTACTGCTTGGAATATGGATAAGAAGATTGACACTCTTAATTAGTTAGGACTGTGAGATAACATGCTGAGGTGTAAGAGAAAAGAAACCCAAGTCCTTGATGACTATGAAGCTGCCATACCTACCATGTGCTAGCTACCTCTGGACTTCTTTTTTGGGATAAAGAAACTTCTATGAAATTTAACACAGGAGAGAAAATGATAATAATCCTTCCTTAATTAGAATTGCGGTCAAATGGGAAGAGAGAGCCAAAATGGGCAAAAAGATTGTAAAGAGAGTGAAGCACCCCCTTGCTATAAATGCATGTTTTTCTTTAACTTTTATTTCAGTAAATTTAAGAAAAACTTGTAAATGAGATTGTTGAGTAATCCTGGCAACCATGAGGTATGCTGGAAAATCAGATATGGGAGAATGCCATTTTGCCATTACAGTTTTCAAAAAGAGGAAGAGAGACTCTGCAACTATTGAATTATGAGCTTTATTTTATTTCCTGGAGTTCCAAGAAGAGGAAGTGGTTGGGTCATCATTACAGTAACCTCATTTCCTTCTTTGACAGATATATTGGACTATGGTGCCAGGGGAAATGTGGCAGAGTGTACTTTTGAACTAAAGCAAGGCATTTGAAGGGGCTTTCAAAATGTCTTCATAGATCAATTAGAGGAATATTGGTTTGCATAGAAGATCGAAAGAGTGTATGAAGGGTAGTTCCTATGGGACAACCTGCAAGTTATTTCTATTTTTGCTCCCTGCCTTGGTGCCAGCTTCATCATAAGGGTTGGCTCCCCCTTGTGGTTAAAAGATGGCTTCATTAATATTTGCCAGGAATAGGGAGAGGGTTCCTTCAGGATCATTCCTCTGAGGAGTCAGGAAGCTTCTTTCCTGGACTGTGACAACAAACCTTTCTCATGTTTTATTGATTCCAGTTGGATTAGGAGTCCATCCCTGAACCAATTACTCTGTCCAGATAAAATGAATACTCTGCTTGGCTTAGGGCTGACTGGTTAGGGGTGGAGTTGGCTTCATGGGGCAGGAAGGGTATATAGTTTTATATCTCTATATCTCTATATATCTATATCTAGAGAGAGCTGAGTAGTCAACAGAAAATGAGGGAGTGGATTATTTTGTAGGCAAACATAATATTCACTATTCTTGAAAGATTTTGAGGGTAAGGTTCTTGAATTCAGAAAGTAGAAGTTTAAATGTTGATGACACAGGCATTCTGATAGATTTGTCAGGATTGCCTTAGCCACAAAATACACTCCAATTAATCAAACGAGTGAACTGAAGGAGCAGAATTGTTTATCATTATCCATCTTATGGCAGATACATGTTGGCTCAAAACCATGATTTTGGTTTAATTATAATCAAGGTTAACACTTCTACCTGATTATAATTGACCAATATGTTTACATTTTTTAGAACATTAGAGGAGGATTACGTTCTCTGAATGGCTCAGAATGACAACCAGTCTTTTTTTTTTTTTTTTTTTTTAATCACAGGATGGCGTGTATCTATTTCAACAGATTGCTCAGGTATAAATTAAAAAGCAAGTGGCTATAGTCTTTTTTTGTGCTGCTTAAAATAGTGGTTTGAAATACTTAAACTTTAGTGTAATTTTTAAGATGATATTAAAAAAAAGAAAAAGAAAAAATATCTCAAAGGACCCTTACATGTCTTAGATCATTTTATTGAGATCATAGTGACATAGCTTGTTAAAAATGCTTAGAATTGTCCAGTACTTTCTGCTATTTTTTTTAAATTTTTTTATTGTTATGTTAATCACCATATATTACATAATTTGTTTTGGTGTAGTGTTTCATGATTCATTGTTTGTTCATAACACCCAGTGCTCCATGCAGAATGTGCCCTCCTCAATACGCATCACCAGGCTAACCCATCCCCCCACCCTCCTCCCCTCCAGAAACCTCAGTTTGTTTTTCAGAGTCCATCATCTCTCCTGGTTCGTCTCCCCCTCTGACTTACTCCCCTTCATTCTTCCTCTCCTGCTATCTTCTTCTTTTTCTTTTTTCTTAAAATATGTTGCGTTATTTGTTTCAGAGGTACAGGTCTGTGATTCAACAGTCTTACACAATTCACAGCGCTCACCGTAGCACATATCTTCCCCAGTGTCCGTCACCCAGCCACCCCATCCCTCCCACCCCCGACCACTCCAGCAACCCTCAGTTTGTTCCTGAGATTAAGAATTCCTCCTATCAGTGAGGTCATATGATACATGTCTTTCTCTGATTGACTTATTTCACTCAGCATAACACCCTCCAGTTCCATCCACGTCGTTGCAAATGGCAAGATCTCATTCCTTTTGATGGCTGCATAATATTCCATTGTGTATATATACCACAACTTCTTTATCCATTCATCTGTCGATGGACATCTTGGCTCTTTCCACAGTTTGGCTATTGTGGACATTGCTGCTATAAACATTGGGGTGCACGTACCCCTTTGGGTCCCTACATTTGTATCTTTGTGGTAAATACCCAGTAGTGCAATTGCTGGATCGAATGGTAGCTCTAATTTCAACTGTTTGAGGAACCTCCATACTGTTTTCCAGAGGGGTTGCACCAGCTTGCATTCCCACCAACAGTCTACGAGGGTTCCCCTTTCTCCACATCCCCGCCAACATCTGTCGTTCCCTGACTTGTTAATTTTAGCCATTCTGACGGGTGTGAGGTGGTATCTCATTGAGGTTTTGATTTGGATTTCCCTGATGCCGACCGATGTTGAGGACTTTTTCATGTGCCTGTTGGCCATTTGGATGTCTTCTTTGGAAAAATGTCTGTTCATGTCTTCTGCCCATTTCTTGATTGGATTATTTGTTCTTTGGATATTGAGTTGGATAAGTTCTTTATAGATTTTGGATACTAGCCCTTTATCTGATATGTCATTTGCAAATATTTTCTCCCATTCTGTCAGTTGTCTTTTGGTTTTGTGGACTGTTTCTTTTGCTGTGCAAAAGCTTTTTATCTTGATGAAATCCCAATAGTTCATTTTTGCTCTGGCTTCCTGTGCCTTTGGTGATGTTTCTAGGAAGAAGTTGCTGCGGCTGAGGTCGAAGAGGTTGCTACCTGTGTTCTCCTTTAGGA